GCACCTACAACTCCAGGAAGCAAGCTATTCTATTGCTTAATTGTTCTTACTGTCAGGAAATTTCTCCTTAGTTCCAGGTTGGATCTCCCTCTGACAAATTTCCACCCATTGCTTCTTGTCCTGCCCTCAGGTAAAGGTAAAGGTTTCCCTTGCACATCTGTGCTAGTCGTTCCCAACTCTAGGGGGCAGTGCTCATCTCCGTTTCAAAGCCAAAGAGGCAGCGCTGTCCGAAGACATCTCCGTGGTCATGTGGCAGGTATGACTAAATGCCGAAGGTGCACGGAACGCTGTTACCTTCCCTCCAAAGGGGATTCCTATTTTTCTACTTGCATTTTTACATGCTTTTGAACTGTTAGGTTGGCAGAAGTTGAGACAAGTAACGGGAGCTCACTCCATTATGCGGTGCTAGGGATTCAAACCGCTGAACTGCTGACCTTTCTGATCGACCAGCTCAGTGTTTTAGCCACTGAGCTACTAGCAATCAGGTACTTTGGAGAATAAATTCGGAGAATAACCCCTTTTACCTGTGATGGCCCTTCAAGTTTTGGAAGGCAGCTATCGTATCACCCCTAAGCCTTCTCTTCATGCCTACTTCCCTTAGCCATTCATCATACAATTATGATGATACCTAGTTGGGTAACACAACATCTGCAAAAAACCCCAACCAAGTTATCAAGAACACCCAGTTCAGTTCTGAGCTGCAAATATTCTGGCTAAGCAACACATGCATTTTCCCTCCGGATCTGAATTATTCTGCATATTAAGTCCTTGATAAAATAACTTGTAGGGATGCTGAGTTTGCAGGCTTAACACATCAGCCCTAATATAATTTAATTACTAGTTTATGTGATACATAAATTAATTTGGACATAAACTTTCTTCGGGATACCTCCATAAAGAGCAGACGTAATAAATAAATAATCCTAATCGCGCCTTTAGTGGATATTGACTTATTTACAGAGGCAGCCAATGGCCACATTTCAAGGCAGGGATTTCAACGGGGAGTCAAAAAACGAAGCATATGGAAGATTTTAGCATCTCGTCTTTGCGTTGGCCACAGAGCAAATCCCATGGAATGGCATTTCTTATTTTGGAAGACTAAATATATCGATGTTGGAAGATTCCGTGGCCATATGGCGTTCAGATTCATACCGGCATTGGCCCTATTAGCTTCATGATAAAGCGGCATGGGGTGAAACTTGAACGGTTTCTCTCTTGTTTGTTTGGCGATGGTGCCCCCATCACACACGGCCTTGCTTTTCCAAAAGCATTTTCAATCAGAGTGGAGCTGGAAGGGACCTTGGAGGTCTTCTAGTCCAACCCTCTGCTCAAGCAGGAGAACCCCCACCAGTGATGAATAACCGTTTTGTCGTTGCGTGCCAAAAGCATGCCGATGGCCATAATGCAATGCCCGTGTGATTCCTCCCTGTGCGCACCCCACTCCCCACACATGCATGGATGAACCCTGCAACCCCCTGTGCATGCACTTGCTCCTGCCATGCTCCCCCATCAGCCACGCATATGCACCGCTCTCCCTCGCTTATTTTTGGCTTCCAGGTTGGTGCAGGAGGCATGCGTGTGATGCCCGCGTGCTTCATTTTGCACCAACCTGGAAGCCAAAATGGGGTATGGGGGTACTCTCCGAAGCCCCAAAATGCAATGTGAGTGCCTCTCCCCCACATGCACTCCACCCCCCCTGCATGTGAGGCAGAGACCAGCTGGCCAGTGGGAGGCACGAACATGCGCAATGGAGCTGAACTGGGGCAACGGCTGTCATGCCGGCAGAGCGAGCTCTGTGTGCCACCTGTAGCACAGATGCCATAGGTTCTCTATCTTATACCATCTCAAACTGTCCAGTTTCTTCTTAAAAACCTCCAGTGATGGAGCAGCCACCACTTCTGAAGGCCACTTCTGTTCCACAGGTTGATTGTCTTCAACTGTTAGGAAGTTTCTCCTTAATTCCAGGTTGCTCCTCTCCTTAGTTTCCACCCATTGTTTCTTGTCCTGCCCTCTGGTGCTTTGGAAAAGAGGTTGACTCCCCTTCAAAGGAATTTATCCTGTTTGCTCAAAGTGTTTGAAGAAATGGCAGAACTCAAAATGGACCCAAAATGGACTCAAAATGGACCAAAAAGGACCAAAGTCGAACAAGGGAATACAGTGGGTTTACAGGTAATTTCCTTACCTTACAACAATTTCTTTAGCGACCATTCAAAGCTACAACGGCACTGAAAAAGGAGGACTTCAGCCAGTTCTCACACTTGCAGGATCCCCGTTATCATGTGATCAAAATTCAGACTGATTTATATTTATGACGGTTTCAGAGTCCTGGGGTCACGTGATCCCTTTTGCGACCTTTTGACAGGAAAAGTCAGTGGGAAAGTCAGATTCGCTTAACGACCATGCTACTTACTACACAACTGCAGAGATTTACACTTAACAATGGTGGCGAGAAAAGGTTGTAAAATGGGGCAAAACTCGCTTAATGAATGTCTCGCTTAGCAACCAAAATGTTGGGCACAATTGTGGTCATAAGTTGAGGATCACCTCTGTATAGGTAAAGGTAAAGTTTCCCCTTGCACATCTGTGCTAGTCGTTCCTGACTCCAGGGGGCGGTGCTCATCTCCCTTTCAAAGCCAGCGCTGTCCAAAGACATCTCCGTGGTCATGGGGCCGGCATGACTCAATGCCAAAGGTGCACGGAACGCTGTTACCTTCCCACCAAAGGTGTTCCCTATTTTTCTACTTCCATTTTTACATGCTTTCAAACTGCTAGGTTGGCAGAAGCTGGGACGGGAGCTCACTCCGTTATGCGGCGCTAGGGATTCGAACCGCTGAACTGCCGACCTTTCTGGTCAACAAACTCACCGTCTTAGCCACTGAGCCACCACGTCCCTTTCCCCTCTATATAGTTCCCTCTTATTTCTCCTGCCACCCAATCTTTCACACTGAATCATAAATTCTGGAGAAACCCTTTCCAAATACCGTCCTTGTAGCTCCAAGCGGGGCAATTAAACAAATGTTGAATTTCCTCCATCTTTGCTGCCTGATATTTCATCTCCTATTACGGTATTGTTCTGCCTTTCTGATGCAACCCTTGATTTGCAGTGTGCTTGCTAGGCAGAGCTATTTTCCATCTGAAGGAGAGATTAGATATTTTTCGGGAGTCAAAACCTTGAACGAACAGTCAATCAGGAAAGCATCGGAGAAGGTTAAACAAAGCGGAAACAAAGACCTTGATTTTGTGATGGTACGAAGTCTGGAGTCCACACAATGAATTTCTGTTGGGCATCGCAGAGCAGCCAAATGCATATTTATGTATTGATATGCAACTAGCTAGCAAGTCGATATTCCTGGGAGTGTTGGGGTCACCTGCATTTTTGAGAAACTGCTCCAGCTAATTACGGAGAATAATAACCAAGCTTCCCTCCCCCTAGAGAAATAACATGTTGCATAAATGCTCTCCTATTTCATCATTAATTAAAAGTGACTTCAAGCAAAATTTGCTTTGCTTTCAAACTCCACTCTCCCCCACAACGGGTGGGCTGAAAATGGGTAGAATAAGGCAGCTTTGTAGGTTTTTGATTCGGTAGAAATGCGCGTTCATCTGTAAGATCAGTGCTACAGTTGTTCAAGGGCTCAGAATTTGATCCTAAAAATGGTGCGTTGAAGTACGTGGAAGTGCAAATGAAGAGCCAGTTTGGTGCAGTGGTTAAAGGTGCAGGTCTAGAAACCAGGAGACATGAGTGCCTGAGCCACGAAAGATAGCTGGGTTTCTTTGGGACAATCACCAGGTGACAGTGAGTTCTAGTCCTCCCTGAGGCATGAAAGACAGCTGGGTGACTTTTGGACAATCACCAGGTGACAGTGAGTTCTAGTTGTGCCTGAGCCACGAAAGACAACTGGGTGACCTAGGGCCAATGATCAGGAGATGGTGAGTTCTAATCCTGCCTTAGGCATGAAACACATCCCCACCATTTTTTCCTGTCTTCCAAAGATGTTTCCAACCAAGCTAAAAATGAAAACACAACCTTTTCATCCTCATTGAATAAACGAGAGCCAGACATTCACGCACAGACCTGGAAGATCTGAAGGACCAATTGGGGACAGATCCTCCGGGAATAAAATCTATCCATGTGGTCATTAGGAGTCAACATTGACTTGATGGCGCCCAACCCATCAATTTGCAAGCCTCTCCTAAAAACAGTCCATGATGGTCTAATTCACAAATAGGGAACAGTTAAAATTAAAACAAGGATCCCAAACAAAACCTGTAGGGAATCCTAGAAAATGTCTTCATCTCATTCAAAAGCAAACGTTTATTTTCCTGTTGTTGCCATAACTGTGAACTCTTGATCGCTAACAGATGGTTGAGATGTTCGCCTGTCAAATGGATTGGCTGTTGCTTAATTCCTTGGACTAGTTCATGGTTTTGTTTTTTTTGTTTTTGTTTTAATCTCTGGAGAATGTTTAAAAAAAAAACATTTCATGTGTCAGCTGGATGAATCTTTTTTCACTCTTTAAAATAACCCAGTTAGGAGACAGTAAAAATAATTAAGTACAATTTCTCGTTCTTCCTTTCTTTTTGCACAGCTAACCATCGGTCACAAGATGGCATTGTCTTCTATCAGTTACGTAGGATGCTCCATTTCCATCTTCTGCTTGACTATCACGCTGGTCACGTTTGCAATTCTGTCGTGAGTAATTTTAACTTTTTCTTCCCGCTGAGCCAATATCAGTCTGGAAATACAGATAGTCGGTGGGAGAAAACTCCATGACTTCATTTTCAGGCCACTGGACTGAATGCTTTCAGGTGCTGGGCGTTTCATAAAAAAAAGCTTATTAATTCCTTAAACCTCCTTAATTAGATGCCGCCCGCATATTAGTAACACTCAGTTGAGTTTGGTGTAAATTACTTTAATTTCTTGGAAGCCGGGAAGCTTTTAAACATTGCAGGTTATTTCCTTATCGTTTACTTTCAGGCTATTTACAGAAGCTTGGCATTCCCTGTAGGGGGTCCTCACCAGTGGTGAGGTGGCTGGTTCCAGTGACCCAGGCCTGCCCACGCCCCAGAACCAGTTCTCCGGGCACCGCCTTAGATGCCACTATCTTGTTTTTCAGTTCTGCACATGTGCAGAACAATTTTAATTGCACTGCGCATGGGCATGCAGCAGCGGTGGGTCCCGGATCCCGGTGCAACAGGACCGGGCGCTCACCACATGAACACGAACGGTACCTGGTGCTCCCGGCAGGCACCTGTACGCTTGTACCAGGACATACTGGTTGTAACCCACCATTGGCATGTAGTGTGCACATGAGCAAACCTGTAGTAGTTCCTCACAAAAGCCTGAGAACTACAGGTCCCAACCTTGCAGCAAAATTGAGAGACTCAGGACTTGTAGTCCTAAAGCATGGGTCCTCAAACTACGGCCCGCGGGGCAACCTGCCAAAGCCATTAATCTGGTCTGCACAGGACCACGAGGCTGCCCCACCCACATCGCCCTGCCCATCCTTCAGCCAAGCGCAGGACTTACCTTTGTGAGCCCTGTGGGCTGGAACTGAAAAGTAAGGCCAACAATTTTGGCCTGCAGAGATGTTCTGGAGGTTGGGGAGGGTGGACGAAAACAACCTGTTTTAGCCAAAATTGAGCCATTTTTGCCTGTTTTGGCCTGCAGAATGCTTCTGAAGGTGGGATGTGTGTGAAAAACAGGGTGCACAGATGCCCCAGGAGGCCCAAAAACTGCTGAAAATGGCCTGTTTTTCACTGCCCCCACCTCCAGAAGATAGATAAAGAGAGAGAGAGAGAGAGACAGAAAGAGAGAGAGGGAGAGAGAGACTCAGAGAGAGACATAGAGAGACAGAAAGAGAGAGGGGAAAGGGAGAGGGAAAGAGACAAAGAGAGAGAGAGAGACAGAAAGAGAGTGGGAGAGAGACAGAGATGGAGAGAGAGAAAGATATTTCTCAAGCTCCTTGGGGCTGAGAAGAATTGCTGCAAAACTGAGTTTCCCGAATTGGACCACTAGACTTCTAAACAACTGAAAAAAAAGATCTAATCAAAAGAAAAGGCAACCAAATGTGCAACCTACAAACACAAGCAAATGAAACACCCGCCAGGAGTTTAATTTGTGTACGTGGTTCAATGGACTGTTAAATTGGCCACACCCACCTAGTCACATGACCTAGCTATGCCCAACCAATCACATGCCCACCTAGCTACACCCACCCAGCCGGTCTGGCCCCCACAATGGTCTGAGGGACTGAATTGGCCCCTTGTTTAAAAAGCTTGATGATCCCTGTCCTAAAGCATCTTGAGTTTGCCTGTTGGAGAAGATAACAGAGATTTCTCTCCCCCCACCAAGATGTTGAAATGAGGAAGGCACCAGTGGTGAGATGAATAGGAGGGTCTGTGATTGGCAGAAGTAAGATAAGGATGTTATTTTAGATTGTTGTGCCATGCTTTGGATTTGATGCTCTGCGGGAGAGACAAATTAAGCACCTGTGTGTGGTTTTTTCGAGAAACCCGTCTTGTCGGGCACAAAAAACCAGCTTCACACATGAAGGAATCGTTAAATTGATTCATTGCAAAAAGCCTAGACACAGGAATCTTTTCAACTAAGGATTAGAACCTGCTCAGAGTTAGAGAAGGGTCAAGAGAATCAAAGGAGGTTGGACTTAGTTCACTTGTGATTACGTAGGGATTCTAGGCTGATCCCTCTCTTGACCCCGCCCTCAGGTTATGCCACTCCTTCTCCTGCACCTCTTTTTCTCAGAATCGTTTCACATGCACCCTCCAAAACATCTTTACAAATTTAATAAATAATGATAATAAGTTATGGAGCAGAACAGAATTGGAAGCGTCACAAAACCGTAGATTTGTGGGTTTGTGGGGAGGAAGGCTGTGCTTTCCTCTGGTGCTGTGATGGCAAACCTATGGCACATGTGCCACAGATAACACACGGAGCCATATTTGCCAGCACGGCAGCCCTTGGCAGCTCTGGCATGCATGCGCGCACTGGCCAGCTGATTTTCAGCCTTCCGGAGGGCCGCGGGAGGCTGTTTTCACCCTCCCCAGGCTTCAGGAAAGCCTCTGGAGCCGGGGGAGGGCAAAAATCTCCCCCCGGGCAAGGGTCACTCGCACATGCATGGGTGGTGGGTTACTAATGCATGTGTAGGTGAGTGGCACACCTTTAGAAAAAGTGGTATGCTCCAGTGGTATGGATCAAGAGAGAGGGAGAGGTACCCCAAGAGAGAGAGAGGAGGGAGAGAGAGAAAGACAGAGGGAGAGAGATTGAGACAGGGAGAGAGAGAGAGAGGAAATAGAGGCAGAGAGGACTAAGAGAGAGAGAGAGGAGAGAGAGAGACAGGCATAGAGGAGAGACAGAGAGAGGGAGAGGAGAGGGAGAGAGGAGAAAGAGAAAGAGAGAGAGAAAGACACACACTGAGAGAAAGAAACAGACAAGAAAAAGAGAGGGGGGGAGAGGAAGAGAAGAGAGAGGAAAGAGAGAGGAAAGAGAGTGAGTCAACAGGAGCTGTGGGATGCCACTTGTTAGAGGTGGCTGGGTTCTCATTTTTTCCATGCCACCCTACCTCTTGCAATAATCTCGGGGTGCAACTTGGCCTTCCAGATGTCCTTCAAAGGGATGGCCCAAAAAGCTTGGTGAGTAGGCAGATAAGAAGAATAATTTGCAGAAGTTTGAGGATTATAATGACTGGAAGATCCATCAAGGTGCCTCAACCTGGCTAGGCTAATGGGCAATTCCAGAGCTGCGGTCTCAGTTCATTGAGAGGCCTCCAGGTTGAAGAAAGAGGTGTCAGCTCTTTGTGGGAATCTCCAGGAGGCATGTTGTCTTGATCGATTGGGCTTCAATTCACAAGAATTGCTCAGCAGCCTCCAGTGGTGGGTTTCAAAACTTTTTCGAACCTACTCTGTGAATGTGGCCTCCTTTGTGGGAGTGGCTTGCCAGCCATGTGACCTGGTGGGAGTGGCTTGCCAACCATGTGTTTTCTCTCTCTCTCTCTCTTTTTCCTTCCTTTTGTCTCTCTGTCCGTTTTTCTTTTTTTTCTTTCATCTCTCTCTCTCTCTCTTTTTCCTTCCTTTTGTCTCTCTGTCCGTTTTTCTTTTTTTTCTTTCATCTCTCTCTCTCTCTC